GAATGCGATTGAGTCTCAGAATTAGCAGATATTGAAACTTCATTTATGAAGGAATAGATGTGTCTGTTTCTAATCAGCATAGCGGTATTATCAGCATAAATTTTCTATATTGAAAGCACAATGTCAGCTCCTGTTGATGAAGGCACCCAAAGCAAACACTGAGGCACTTCAATTGAATTCTAAAAAATACAATGATGTTACGAAACTGTTGCATAAGAACATTCCACCTGTGGATAACCGTCTACTCTCTACATTCAGCAAAACCTAAAAGAGGAAACCGAAACACACTGACATGTTGTACGATGACTAACATTTCGTTTGTGAATTAAATTAATATATTTTGAAATTTCTTCAATAAAGTTAATTTGTTGCATATTACTACTTTAAAGTAATATGTATGTAAGTATTTTTCAATAAATTCCATGGAAATTATTTGCTTGTGCTAATTATTCTTACGTGAACCCATTATAGGAATTTTGAGAGCAAGAACCATGTATATCCAACATGTATTTATCTAATTATTACCGATTTCTAATAAAAGTGGCACATAAAATCCATTAAAAAAAGTGCTGTGGCAGTTAAAATTTGATGAAATGTTCACATTATTTCCTTCCTTCATCTCACACAAGCTAATGCGATGCATTTCATGTTTAAAGTAACGTGAAATGTTCTTCTCATGTTTTTCAAAAATTTACTTTTGTTTTTTGTCAGGTTCTGGCACTCAGTCTTCAACTGTAGAGAAATTTCATTCTTATTAATTTTTTTTCAAACTTGATGTTGCATTATTTTTGTATTTTCCATTGTTTATTTTCTTTATATGTATTATAAGACTTCTTTCAATAAAGATATATATGTAAATTACAGAATGTTTGTACTTCAAAATATATTCACACATGGCCATGAAATGTTTTGAAGTTAATAAGAATAAAATTTCTCTACAATAATAAATTCTAAAACATTGAACTGATTGTCTAGTTTTACCTGGAAAACTCATCTCTGTATTGACGGTCTTAGCTTGCATTTAAAGGAGTGAGCCATATTATTTCTATACTGAACTGCACTGAGGAGTAAGTGTGACTTCCATGTGGTTCATTGTTGCTCTAAAAAATGTTTGTGGTATCACATATTCCTGGTAATGAATAAGGGAGTGAAATTTGGAAGGTGTACTTGGCAATTTCAGCGTTACATAGTACCTGTGTATTATTTGACATTGCTTTGCGAAATGCTTTCATACATTTTATTACTTTCTTGCCTTATGAATTCTTCGTAAGAAGAGAAAGTTATGTTATCGTGTGCCAGAAAATCTTCAAAATTGATATTCCTCAATCAATCTGAATGAACTCTGGGCTTTTGGAGTTTCAAATGGATATTTAGATTTTTGCGGATACTTTACATAAAGCCTGAAAAACATTTAAAAAATTTTCTCAAAAACCGCTCCAAATTTTTTGCTTAAATTGTGGTGTTGAATAGTGCGAAGGACGTTTGAGAGAATGGTTCAGATCTCATTTTCATTAACATCCCCGATTTTTCGAAAGTTGCAAAACAATTTGAAACTACACAACTGAAGATAGAAATGTTTGACTCAAAGTATATTGTACGAAATAGCTCTTTAAAAGAGGTCATGTATATATTTTTGAGAAAATGAGTAGTTGGTGAAAAATTTGCGTTTGAAATTATCACAATTTTTTTTTTCTTCTCAAAAAGTGTGCCAAAATTTTTGTTTAAATTTCCTGAAAATTCCGAAAAAATTTGATAACCACAAAATTGTAGGTATAGTTTTTTCCTCGGACAAAGCCAGTTGCTCATGCATGAATTTTATTTAGTATGTTATGTGCATTTTAGGTGTATTTGTATGTGCTGAATATCAGTGAATTCTATATACATACTTAACTTTTTGCATGTATTGTGACAAGAAGGATTAAATTTGGTTATGAAAATATGCTAACTTTTGCTGTAATATTTTGTCTTTGTCCTTTTTTTTCAATTCTTTTTCACCAAGCACCAATATCAATCAACTTCCATCCAATACTTCCATGTGGCATCCAACCCCTTTTGAGAACAGACCCCTTCGTACATGATACAATGAAGCCAGATTGTATCATGTACTGGTGAATAAATGAGAGCTACAAATGTAAACAATAGTTTTTCAATTATGCTAAAATTCAAAGATTCATAAACGAATTGTTCAACCCACACTTAACCCTTCGTAGTGAAATCAGTGAATTTAATTTGCAGTCATAAGGCTGAAATTTGGTTAATCATAAAGAACAATTTTCAGTTATGCAATGATTTCTTTTCAATAAATGGGTAACCAATGAAGATTACAAAATTTATTGATGAACCAATGATGAAAACATTTCCTTGAAAGTGCTAGTATTAATATCAATATTACAAATAACATTTGAATAATTTAAATTATTACCCTCTAATTATTTTTCTTTTAAACTCCTGACATATTTTAGTTCATTATTGCTTGCCTACATATGGTAAATTAAATGCCTTAACTTCTGGGCTCTACTTGCATATTAATGCATTCTACTTAATTGTTTGGATAGCTAATTAATTATTACTTTTTATTTCAAAGGGATTTGAATAGTAGTTCATTATTTTTAATTTAGTATTGTATCAGCAAAAATTAATATTTAAATTTAAAAATGAAGATAAATTAATTTAATTTATTTAAATACAAATGGACAAATAGCTTTTATAAAGAATTAATTTATTTACAATACTATAAGAATTAAACAAAAAAATAAACTAAAATGAAAATAATGCAAAAAAATGGAATTGCTGCTGTGACGTCGGGGACACAACCAAAAGCATCTCTATTAAACGCAACATGCTAAGAACGTGCAAAACGCTGTGAGGAATAAGTAGCGTTCAAAAATCGACTGTGTCGCTATCTATTGAGTGCATGTTGAAGTTCTTATAGAATCTGTAGTTATAGAATCCCTAAATTTGCTTTACGCAACGGTGCACGGGCTATGGAACCTATGAATTTTATTGAACCTATAGCTATGGAACCCACATGGAAAGCTTTATGCAACCGACCCATAGTCTCTTGGATAAAATTAGTTTTTTAAAAAGGTTATATACAAATTTAAAAAAAAGAGTATTTTTGCGTAGTTAGCGCTTGAAATTTACGAACTTTTTTCTCGAAAACCGCTCCAATTTGTTTTGTTTACATTTTCTCCACATATGTAATAGGGGTAGTAAGAAGTATGGCGCTAGTCTCTTTTTCATCTATAGCGCCATTTTTTCGAAAATGTCAAAAGAACGTGAACATTTCAAAACCATAAAATTTCAGTTTTCTGGAAACTCGCACGAAATGTTTTCATGAAAGTTCCTCTTCGTATTTAATAGCGTATGATAGATGAAATGAATAAATAAAAAATAAAACTAGTGGTACTATAGAATGGCCTGACTTTCTCACAGTAGTTGGTTCTCTAATCTCTTCAGACTGAAGTAAGATTTCTGTTGTGCCTGATTCTGTTCCCAGTTACCTTCTTTGTTAGCACAAAAGACAGTTTTCTCCATGTGTCTCGATTTTTCGGCTTCCTAATGCTAGAATTGAAACCACCATACTCTTATTATTATTATTATTATTATTAATTATTATTATTATTTATTATTTATTATTATTATATAAATGTTAAACGCACGTACTTCCCGGATGGCTCAAGTGGCTAATTGGCGAGTAAGGACTCAGCTCTTCAGAAGGAAGGTTCGCTGGCTCGAGTCTTGGTCGGGGAATATTTAGTCACAATTCTAATCAAAGATAATTAAGATAAACTGGACGTGTATGTATGTGATTTTCGAATTTTCAACTTTTAAACAATATTTTACATATCTGGTTCGATTTGTAAAACATATGTATCATCAAATCAATTGTTCGTCTTTCTGCGCATGTGTATGAACCGATTTAAGTAAAATAATGAATATATCAACATTAAATTCAAACAGAATATAACCAGTACCCACGGAACCAACAGCCCTTTTTGTTCCGAAATTATTATTACTTTCTCGCCTTACGAATTCTTCGTAAGAAGAGAAGCGTGCGCCAGAAAATGCCGGTATTTCGGCATAAAAAACAACATATTGCTGGGTTCTGGTATCGAAAATGTGGATAAATCCTGATGGTAAATTTAGAGAAAAAAAATCCAGAATCCATGATTTGGATGGTTATTGATACCGAAACATCGGTTGCCGGCAAAACGTCCGTTTGTCCGTGGCGCCTAAACCGTCTCGGTGTAGGAGAAATAGCATAAAAATAATTTGCTGTTTGAAAACACGTTTGCTATTTTATATAGTGCAGTATTGCGGAAGAGTTAGAATGCGAGAAAGTATGTGCTTTGCAGTACCACTAGTTTACCTTGCAAATAAAATGTGTTAAGTAATATTTGACATTAGTTTCCTCTTTTTTGAATTGATTTTCCTCAAATCTTCACACGCCTGTAGCGGTTATCAGTAATCTGTCAATGACATACTTATTGCTCCTGACATTTCTTTAGTTACCAAATGAAAAGTTATTTTTATCTGTGATCAGTGGTGATTTTATTAAAAAAGCATAACATCTGATTTGTCAGTATTTTTCTGCTATACATTGTGCGCTACATAACTTTCTTAGTTACATTTTATAATCATAATGGATTGTTTATTTGCCTTGAATCGGCCATCTCTTGGGTTATGGAGATAACTTGTAACGTTTGTAACTGTTTTTATGGGAGGTTTATTCTAACCTTTAGATAATTTGATCTGGGCTGCCTGGGTGACGCCGCGACGAAGGGTGAGATGCCGACGTGTCTTCGCCGCGAATGAGTATACAAATTACAGCGAAAGGAGGGACGTGAAACGATCCTCCTACATCCAGGACCCCACGACACCGTGAGCAAGAAAATCACCACACTGCCATACATAACGCATCACAGAATTAATAAACTCCTGAGGCGGTTCCAGATTAAGACAGTTTCAAGGCACACCAAAAGCTCGGTAAAACCTTAATGCACTTCAATGACCAGCTTCCACCGTCGCAAGCCGCCGGAGTATATTCTTTTCCGTGCTGCTGTGGTCGCACTTACATCGGAGAGACAGGAAGAACCGTAGGCAAAAGACTACGCGAGCATATCCGTGATTTTAAATTTAAAAATGTGCATCACTCCGCCGTAGCTCTCCACGCTTGGGAAATCGGACATGACTTCCTTTTAGATAAGAACAAGGCCCTCGCCACGAAGGACATGTGGTGTCCCAGACGGATCAAAGAAGCATTAGAGCTCGCGAAACGTCCCCGGAACATCAACGGGGATGCTGGGTTTGATGGGATCACTCCATGCCATGGTGGGATCACTCCATGCCGTCCGATCCCTTGCATTCCTTGTCGTCCGATCTCCGGACCCTCCCACCCGTCCATTCCCCTGCCTCCTTTAATCCTTCCCCCGGTCGCGCCCGACTGGCCGACACCTCAGCCCACCAGAACCTGGCCCCGCCCCGCCTTATTGGCAGGTCACTTAAGCCAATCACATCCTGGCCTACCTACTATATAAACTGGAGCGCCCAGTATTCTGGAGCCCTGAAGGAGACCGCGTCATGTTGGTCGAAACGTCGGCACCTCAGTCTTCGATGCGACGCCACCTCGACAGCCCAAATAATGACTGTCCGCGGAAGCTTACGACATCATTTCAGTACCTTCTTTAAATTTAACAATCATTTTTAGATTACAGCATATATTGTAATTATAAAGATAATATTAAAGTATTAATAACAGAAATATTTGATTATTTTATGTAAAGAAAAAGCCCAAACTCAAAAGCAGTGTTAGAAATTTTTATTTGCAGCAATCAAATAATATTAACCCACAGAAAAGATCTGCAATCAAATTGAGAGGTGATGAGTGGCGGTATTAAGTAACGTAATGTCATAATTTGCAGACATGTTACGAAATTTTTAAATAGTGTGGTGTTGAAATGTACTTTTACTCCTTTTATCAGTTTTGAGGAGACCCATTTGTCATTTTATTTCGAATTCTGTGCCAAGGTGTTAAATTTCCAGTTTTCGTTCTATTTTAAGGAGGAAAAAATATGTTCTTTGAAGTTAATGAAAGTTAGTGGAAATTACTAACATATTGTGCCTCATTTCATTTCATACACCGATTTAACATTTTATTTTTGACATCTGGTAATTTTCTTGTAATTATGTTGTGTTATTGTGTATCTCTACGTTGGTCAGTAACAACCCTCATTGAAGAATGGAGATGGTTTTATATATTGAAAAATGGTAGGCGTAGTATATAATAGGTCTACCATTCTGAACATTCACTGTACTGATGTTTAAAAGAAGTCATTGGATAATTGATAGATGCACTCAACAATCTCATTTGGCCAAAAGTCATTGATAAAATTTCCAGAATTGCTAATGATAATTGATTTGCATGGGGGCTCACTTATTCACATTTGATCCTATTGTCATTTTGATTTTTGAAAATGGGCTCACTCTTTATCTATTTGAATGGTTTTTAGCATGTTATCATCTATTTAATTGTTAGAATCTGCAACATCCCAAGCATGAAAGCATGGATTATAAATATTAGATATTTTATAGCTCTAAAATTTCCCTGCTTGGAAAATTCTCTTTCATCATAGACAGAGTTTTTGAAATTTATTTTTTCTCCGGTAATGCAAATAGCAATTCATGCATAATTGTTAATGTATTGCTTTTGTCATTTTCTATGTCCAGTGCTGTATTAATTATTAAGTTTCTTGTACAAACTAAGTTTTTTCCTTGATAAGAACATGTTTCTGTGATGTTTGAATTACTCAGTTAATGTGTTGGAATATATTTGTAATTGCATTTGATTTTTTTATTACACTCTTGGTAATTCCGCCGAATGTTTGAAATTGGAAGAGATCCGTTTAAAGCATTTCTTTCGATCATAACGACACTTTTTGTGTGTTTTTATTCATAAATTTATTTAAAAAAAACTAAGGCCTGTTTGGCAGTTTGACGTACACAACTTAAAAACTGTGATTTTCACGTGAAACACTTGGGTACAGAAATAGTCTTAACAAATTCGTGCTAGAAGGGACTATTTCGGAAATTTGAAAACTCAAGGCTTGTGACCGCCAAACCTTTTTTCAGCGAACTGTTTCGCCCAAAATTGCAATTAGTATAGAATGTGCACATGAAGTTGCGTGGAAATTTTGAGGTGTATTTGGTTTCTCTTCTGGTCATGGAGGCAAAAAAACTTCTTCGTGGGTGTGCCAAAGTGTAGGTGATAATACTATAGGACCCAACTCCTTACGGCCTCCAATAAAGTTTGGAAGGGGCCGGGTCCACCCAAACTGGACAATAAATAACATTGTAAAGAAACATTTCCACATCTGCTTCGATGTTAAATTAAATAGATAAGCAGATGCCCAGAAGCTACGTTAACAAAAATTACCTCAGATTCGGCGTTCAATTTTATGAAAAATGCAAGATTCCGAAGAAGAGGCAGAAAAGGAAAAAAATGTCTTCGAGAAAATTGAGTTTAAATATCCCTTCCTAGAGTGCAATTGAAACCGACTGCCGCCATATCTACAACGCGCTGGACAGTGCCTCGTTCCGGTGTTATCGATGAACTGCCGATTGTTTCGAGGAAACTTGTCACAGTACAGTGTTTTAATAGCATCAAGCGTTTTATGTACAATTCATCCAATCAATTAAATCTGACAGGGACTGTAGTGGTCTATCATTTAAGTGGCTATCGAAAGCCCAAAACACTGCACCACAACCGGTTGTAATGACCCTAAAGGTATATCGACAGTTTTACTGATAACACGAAGAAACGAGGCAATGCCCAGCGCCGCTGCGGATATGGGTGGCGGGGCGGCAGGTTTGAATTGCGCTCCCGGATGTAAACCCAACGTTTAGTGATGTTAGAATTTAGCTCTTAAATTTTAAAAAATCGCATTTCGAAAACAAGGCTATAGTATTTTGTAGCATTTTAAAAATAAGATTTATCATTTTGTAGCATTTGCTGATAAAATTGTTATTAAGGAGGGCTTCTTGAGATAAAAAATATGTTTTGGTGCATTTTAGATTTTCCCATTAAAATAAGGAAATATGGGAAACATTGAATATTTCACCATTTGTGAATTTCAACAAATCTTTAATCAATCACTTTTAAATGCAAATAATGATTCCTAGCTTGTATAGAACACATAGGAGACTTCTGAATAACACTATTCAAAGGACAGGAAAAGGATTGTCTTGCAATTTGTAAATGCTTATTAAAACACATTTTCACAATATTCTTTTAAAAGGTCATGCATTTTTGTCAAATTAAATCAGTTTATGTAAATATCTAATATCAATATGTAACATAATCAGTGAAAAATTAACTGAAAGCATATTTCAATGTTGGCTTCTTTCACCTATTTTTGCTGCAAGTAAGAATTAAACCATATTGACTAAAAAATCGTTCAGATTCTACACTGTCGGCCACTGTCAAATTAAATATTTTCAAACATCGATGTGTTGATGTTGCATCCCTAGTCGGAGAGTGAACTGGAAGGAAACCATAAAATCCAATTTAGCATTTATATCGCAGATTCACGACCATTTCGTACTTTGTACTGATTTCACATCTTATCGCAGATTAAAAACCTTCAGAAATCTACTGCACCGGCCGACAAACATACAATTACTAATTTTTCTCACGGTTTGGTAACTTCGCATATTTAGCAATTGCTAAAATCTATCATATCTACCCATGTGGCCAAAGACAATTATTTTTATTCAGATAGACTTGATCTGTCATTCTTCAAGAAAGTCATCATAGAATTAAGGAATTTTTTGTCACGGTTGTTTCAAAACGTGTACAATTAGTATTCATAACTTTTTTTTACCGGAAGTTGTATACGTTTTAATGTACTGAGTCTCCCGATTCCTTGTATTGATCTGTTGGAGAGAAAATTTGCATCTGCCTCTTGCGTAAAGGTCGCCAATCTGTTGGAACCGTCAAGTGTGATCGTCCCGCAGGGAGCGTGGTGGAAATATTCTCTTTCCACTATGGCGGGGAGTGAGCAACGGGGTTGGGGGTCAAGGAGACGGGGTTCTTGGAGACCGAAAAACTGCGTGGGCAATGCGTGGAGGTCCATTCGTGTCCTTACTATTCGTTACATGCTTCGCCGCGGATCGGGCTGCTTGCCATATTAAAGTTTATAGATTTTCTTGTCGAGTACACACGCAGTCTGCCAAAGACCTGATAGTGTTTCATTTCTTCCACAGAAAAATCATGTTCAAAAATCGAAAGTACGCTAAGGCTGCGAGTTTGAGAGCAGAGTGCTGTGAATTCTGAACTATAACATTTTTAATTTAAAAAAAAACAACAAACGATACTTTTGAGTAGAAAAGGCACAAGAAGATTGTGAAGGTGCTATCAAAAACGCTACTTTTGAAACTGAACCAAAGAAATAAGATCGAGGAAATACTATGTTTGTCCGACCCCCCAATATTTTCAAGATTGCGCCTCTGGCCCAAAGGAGAGAAAAATCATGAGTAGACATCTGCAAAGTGTATTATGTTGTTGCAGGAAGACATTTTGTTTTCGGAAATCCATTACAACTAGTAGCGTTACGTTTTTAAGTTTTTACTTTGTCTCACAGTATTGTTCCAAATCTAAAAATATTTTTGTATTTCTCAAAAAAGTCTTATTCTTTATGATTTTTAGAAACAATGTACGAACAGTATCGACATTTTCTTAAGTAAAACTGATAAATATTTGTTTTTAGCGATATTATTAGTCGAACTAATTTTATAATATACTACTGTTCTGTATTTGTTTGACATCCCAGACCGCCTATTTCTACAAGTATAAAATGCAGAAAGGTTTGCAGAAAATGCATTCCTTTCCCATTAAATGCAGAAAAGTGTGTAACATATTTAACAACATATGGCTTGTTGAATATAGTAATCAAAGGCTCACAAAATTGGGACACTTATTGATTGTTATTTTATCTAAACAAAAAAATATATCCTAGATATACAATTATCAAACTACATATTCGAGAGAACAAGACATCTGTGCAAATTTCGATGGCTACAAAAAGATGCGTAATGAGTTTTTTTTACGACCCGAGAATCGAGCTTTAACAAAATGGGTGTTTCCGAACTAGGTGTATACTATGGTACTGATCTACGTTGGAGATAATTGTCAGAATTGCCAGTTACCGTCTAGAAGTCCTGGTGAAAACTAAGATGGGTCGGCGCGGTAAGAACGTTTCTTTCGAAATAAGGCAGTTAGTGGTATTTCATCGCGCAATGGACAATAGTATAAGAAGAATCGCAGAGGTGTGAAT